CGAAGGCGCGAAGCGCTTCCAGCCCCGATCGAAGATCTGCCTAGGAGAAAAAGGTGAGCTGCGAATCCCCAAACGGTTAGGAGTCCGTAACGACGCAATAGCAGCGAAGCCGCGAAAAACCCATCAAGGTAGGAGGGAAGGGCTACTCACGAGGGAAGGTATAGCTAATGAGTCCTGGGCATTGAAAAACGGATGAATTCTCCATGGAGGGCTGGGGTGGCTTGCATGAAGGGAGCCATAATTTGCGCGTGTTTTCGTAGATACAATTGAAATGCATCGCTGGCCCAGCGGCCCTTTGTCTTGACGACCTCGAAAGGTACGTTCCGCAGTAGGTACTCCAGGGTCGAGCCGATCCGAATTCCGTGTCCCTGGAGGGGATCTAGACCGGCGCCTCTGGCTGCTTGGGCTAAGTGGTTGATGAACTTGGCTTTTGTGAGGGGGCAGTGGCCGTTTTTGTGACGATATGCAAAGAGGGCGCCCCCTGCTGGAGGGTTGTTGATGGCCAGGTGGTGGAGAAGTGCTGCCTCTGGGTTGGAGATGCCGTTTTGCCTGGCGAACGAGACGTCTTCGCCCTCCATTGAAGTTTTCGTTTGCAGGAGGTGGAAGACTCTCATTTCGAGCTGGTTGTGGTCATGCTCGATGGACGAGTCTGAGGGTTTGACATGGTGGTTGGGATTGAAGGACGTTAGGGTGGGAACAGTAAATTCGCCAACCCTGGCGGTACAATAGAAGGTGGTTGTCAAGCAACTGTAAACTGATGAGTCAAGGGGGGAATTGATGTCGAGTTGACCGCGAAGTGTGCAAATGAATTCGACTGTGAACGGGCGCCTCTTCTTGCGTTTCGAGGATGGTGGGGCTAAGTTCTCGGCTGCTTTGAGGAGTGCATCAGTTTCCTCGTCATTGAGAGCCCAGTGCATACCATGCAAAATGTGCCATGCTTGCACACCGAAGACATAATTGGCTATTGTCTTTCCGGAGTATGAGCCTGTGACGAAGGCGATGAAGGTGGAGATGAGGGTTGAGTCTGCGGGTGCATGATCGTGTTCGGGAATTGAGTGTGAGTCACAGTAGACGTGAAAAACCAGCAGCCCAGAGCCATAGGACTCGCAGGTGCTTTCAGCCCATGCGTGCAGCATGACCTCTTGTACCCTGGCCATGTCACTTGGAACGAGGGTGCTGGGGGTGGGCCTTGGCGTGAATGGTGTCCATAAATGAAGCCTGTCTTTTGCTGTGCAGTGAGGGTGAAGGATGGAGGGGATTGGGGTAAGGTCAGCAGGGTAAGTAAGCTTCCGCCGCTCTGTTAAGCTCTTCTCCTTCTCTCTCGAGCTGGCGGTTTGTGCCAATGCGCTCAATGCGACTTGGGGAGAGATGTCCTTTGGGGGGAGCGTGAATTGTGATGACATGGTTGTGCTCTGAGTATGGTTGGCAGGTCTTGTTGGCCTGTAGAGGGGCGTCGAAGTCGACAATGAGGTTCCTGAGAGAGGGATGGATAGGAAGGGGGGGCAGAAGTAAGGAGCGAGGGGGGTATTTTCTGCAGGAGGGTTCGTTGGCTGGGTTGGATGCACTGGGTACATAGTGGGGGAGGATGGTGCATGCGGCCACTTCTGCGATGCTGTGGACGCGCTTAAACACACCGTTGGTTGCCCGGTTACGGCTACAGCCCTTCCACCATCCCTCAATGACTCCTCGGTTGTCTCCATAAACCTTAAAGCAAGGTATTGGGCTGGGTGCAGGTGCTCAAGTGATGGTGAGGATGAGGAATTCGAAGCCGACAGCTTCAGCCCATCCAATGTTGCGGCTGTCAGCTTTCCAGCCAGGAATGAGTTGCCAAGCTCACCACCAGCCATTAATCCAAATTGCGATTCCCACGCCTGAGCTAGCATCCAAGAAGGCATTGGGGTCGAAGACTTCACAGGGTCCTGGGATGGTTCTGCTGATGGAGGGTTGGCATAGAGTTGTGGACCACCATCTGAGGTCGGCAGCGCAATTACGAGGTGGGGTATGTGGCACGAGAGGGTGGTCACCAAATAGGGGGAGCATGGCTTCCAGTTCTGTGAGGTAGGCTTGTCTGGTGGGAACAACAAGAGAAGTGTGTAAGAGCTTCCTGAAGAGTTTTTGGACTTCAATGAGGGGGTGGCGGGGGAGGGCTTCCCAGGAAGATATTGCCACCAGGTACTTCTCCTTCTTGCTTGCCGGGATCTCGACAGTGCATGTTTTGAGGTTCCACATGAAGCCCGTGAACGGGGGCTTTGAGCTGAAGGGAACATCTTTTGCAGGTTCCCAGGGGGTGCCTGTTTGCATGGAGAAGAAGTCAATATCATCCAGACAGCAGGAAAACTCTGCGTCTCATGGGGAACGTGGGGAATGATGGGAGAGATCGCAAATTGGGAACAAGCAGTCCTCATCAAACTCTTCAGAGCTGTCATCTGGGAGCTTGACCCCTTGGTACCATCTCCTGCCACCATCGGTGCGAAGGCCGCTGGCATCCTGGATTCCACAAGCCCACACTCCTCTCTGCTGGTTGAACTTCTTGAGGTATTTGAGGCGTAGTCGGAAGAAGAGGTGGTCGTCGACCCACTCCAAAAGTGGGCCAACTCCCTCACTGCAGAGCAGGTCTGCCCCTGCATTGGCCAGGCCTCCATATGTGCCGGCTGCAGAAGAGCAACCAAAACAGAAGCTAGTGTCAATAGCAAATTCGTTATTGCCTGTGTGAACCACTGTACCTGGGTATTGGGAGGGATGCAAAGGTATTGTCCTGTAAGCTTCTGCCACGTCGCGTGTTGCGCCCTCTGATCTGGGAGGCAAGCGCCAAACCAATAAGCATATCATGGCGAAGGTTCCGTATGTGCACGGGTAGAGATTTGAGTCGATGAACGAGTTGATGGATGGGATGGGGTGTGGTAGGGATCTTGCGATGTGCGACAAGTTTTGGATAAGCTGGAATTTTCCTGGCCTCCCTGGTTTCAGGATGAGAGAGAGGGGGGCTGTCTGGAAGGGACCGATGAGGGCCTCGATGTCTGTAGTGGATAGTGGGCCCAGATAATGGCCAGCTTCAAACTCACAGGAAAGAATTGTGGCAAACACATCAGCATGCTCGGTGATGGAAGGGTGATTAGGGGGGGTATGGGACCTTGTAATGCTAGGAATACTGCCGCAAAAACCATATTGTAATGAATGTGGGATGTGAGGGTATTTAAGTATGAGGCGTGACTTGGTGAGTGCGAGAAGCCAAGCACTGGGATTATATGGGGTGAGAGCTCTGATTTTCCTGTCCTTGAGGACAGCCTTGAGCACCATGATCTGCACTCCTGCAGCCTGAACATGTGTGGATGTGCTCTTTGCTGGTGTTTGCACAGCCATTGGGGTGTTGCCAATCGTAGCAGAGCTGCAGGCCTTGGGTGTTGATGAGGCAACCCTTTGCGTTTCATCGGCAGAATGTGGGAGTCTTTCCATCCCACAAGAACTCACTTTTGCATTTGTGGATGTTGTGGGGAAGCGGCTGAGGCATAGAGCACAGGCAAAGAGGCCAACTGACATTGCGCTGTTCTGAAAAAGCTGCTTGTCTTGGGTGAGCCACTTCTGGTCTTGACAGGGACACTGGCATGTGGATGGTGACGTGCGAGGGGGAGGACACCCTTGTGTATTGTGGGTTGGGGATCGTGAGTGTGAGCAAGTTGCATGATTGCTCCCCTGTGGTTGGTTATGGTGAGAGGATGCTTGATCATGGCTGGATTGGTGATGGGTCTGTGAAGCAAGTTGGAACTGGGATGAGGGGAAGCAGTGGATGGTTAAGGGCCATTGGTGGTACAGGAGTGGGAGCATGGCAGCAAGCACCATTGGGGGCAGTGGCAGCGTTTTTGGAAGCGGGTGTGGAAGCGATAATGGAAGCAGGAGCAAAATGTTGCGAGTGGAAGTGAAGTGATTGTGAGAGTCAGGGTCAGCTATTGTGGTTCTGTTGGGTGGTAAAGGGGGAGAGACTGACCTCCACAAGGGTTTCTTGGCAAACTTTGTTCCATACTTCTTTGCCCATGTTCTTCAAGAGGGTGAGGTTGAAGACGCTAATGTCGAAGGCATTGTCGAGGACAAGGGTGTTGTGCCAATTGTGATGGACGCGAGCTGCATATAAGAGAAGTGCTCGTTCTCTGTATGGTTCGGAGCAGGAGGGATGAGACACAATGTTCATGAAGAACATTGTGAGAGCTTGCTGATGCTTGTCTGGCCATTTGAGCTTGTTGATGTACAGCAGGAAGCTGTTCTTGGTGAGGTCAAATTGGCACCACTCAAGATTGTGGTCTTGGATGGCTTTGCGAGAGGCTTTGAAGGATGTGACTGGTTTGAGGGCAACAAAGTCTTCAACTTTGGTGAGGCTGAAGGTGTTGTCTGCGCTGGTCTTGGCATCATTGGCTGTCTCTCTGCATCCATCTGGGCTGAAGTACCAGAGTTCAATGTACTTGAAGGACTTGAGTTTATGGATCATGTATTGGGAAGGGTGGGGGGTAAGGGTGTTGCCAATGGCTGCCCCGATTTTGAAATCGTTGATCTTTGGTTTCTTCTTCTCTGCTTCACAAAGTTCTGCTTCGGCTTCTTGTTCCAGGCACAAGCGTTCCTGGTCTACTTGTTCCCACTCTGTTTGTGCTGCGTGAGCTGCAAGACACTGGTCTTTGTCAACTTGCCTTGTCCATGCGACAACTCTGAGGTTGCAATCTTGTTCCCATGCAGTGGCAAGCTTGTTGGTGACTTCTTCATGTGTCATCTGAGTTCCTCCGATGATGCAATTTCTAAGACCCTCGAAGGTGGGTGAAGAAAAATCAGGCTGGATGTCCAGAACCGGGTCCGAAGCGATACAGGCCATATTGGATTAATGGGAATGGTTTGGGGTGATATTTATTAAGAGGTAGAAATAAGGAACACCAGTAGGTATGTTGGTGCTGATAAGGAACAGAAAATAGCTCGAATAGACTTAGATGTCTACGAGCGTGGTGGGGGAGCGGAAGCGAGAGACGCTACCTGCGTCTTCCGCTCGCCCAAAGACAATACTCTAATCCTGCGCTCGTGCCTCGCTACGTAATAGAGTGGCAAAGTCTGTAAGGCGAAAGGTAGTGATATGTATGGGGATTTCCCACGTGACTGTTGGTGTCGTAAGCATTTGGTCTACCTTTTCTGACTACATAATCCCTTTCTATCAAGAGGTTTCGTTGAATGGCGCAAATGCAGTGTGCTCGGTTTCTTTCAGGCTGTCTGAAGTCCAATAAGATTCTGTGTCGTCTCCGTCGTATCACCAAAATTTCTTTTTTTCAATCTGATATCTGCTTCCATTTACACCGTGAAATGAAGTAGAAGTCGCCATGGTAGCGAGGAAATAACCGCAAGTCTTTGTGCCAGGTTACGTAGCCGCGCGGATCAGCTGTGTGCGGGTCAATATTACGTCTCTATGCAATTTCGTAACTAAAACACATGCGGATTATAATGCAACGTCCAATGAATATGAACCCAACAGCAGAGCAAGTAAAGAACGTCCTATGGTATTGAAAAGAAAGTCAAAAGAAAGAGGAGTCTACCAAAGGCATTCCCTGTCACATAAGTTTAGGTTCGTGATTAGATCCACCATCGAAACATAGCGTTCTGATCGCGTTCTGGTACTATGTAGGAGTCCGTCCGTCCGTCTCGTGTCTAAATACCACCGTCCCATTTCATGCTTGCCTTAATAATACTCGGTCAATTGCAGCATTGATCGTCCCCTTTCGTGACGTCAAGTCCATCCCAAATTGTTCTTCGAGCTGACGCCGTATCTCGCGCTTCGTCACAGAATTGAGGTCGGCAGTGCGGAGGATCTCATGGACGGCATGATCAAGCTCAATATCACTAGGAACACCTGGTGCCAAGTCCATATCCTCATGACTGCGCGTGGTTGGTAGAGGCATTTCAAGATAGTTCGTTGGTGGCTGCGACGGCATGGGTTGGTACAACATGCCAGTGTCGCCCATGGGCCGCAACTGTGACATCGGCGTGTTGCGACCTGATTGGTATCCAGGGGGTGGGATCATGCCAAATTGCGATGGCGCAGGTGAATGGCCGCGTGGCTCGTAGTAGGTCTCGCGGCCATACAACGACGCAGTAGCTGATGCTGCATATGCTTCCTTGTGGAACTGATTGGGAGGTACCCACGAGCCCATACTGTGGTTCGACTCCTTGTCCCAAAGCTCGTTTTCCTGTAAACCAGGTAAGTAACATGTCTACGAGGGACTGAATTCACGCACGTAATCATTCCAAGACTTGAGAGGAATCGCACGCGGGTCGAACTTGCCTTCGTCCTAAAGAAACTTCATCAACATCGGTCAAATCACAACGACTAGAAAACACCTGCATGAACAATCATCTTCTTGCCAGATTCACCCAACACGACACGGGTAGCACCCCAAGAGAAGTCATCCATACGCCAGAACGAATAGAGCGGGAGCATGAGAGAGAAGATCGGGACAGCCAAAATGTAGAAGACCATCCATCCAACCATGTCCCACTTGCGCCGGAGGATAAACACGAGGGCTTGTAAACCATACACGGCGCCGATCATGACGAGTGAGATAACAGGGAGAGTCTCCTGATTGGTGGCGACCTCCACGATGAGATACACAATCTATAACTTCAAATCAGAACCCGAAGAAAGCCCAAAAGAGAACCGAACGTACGTAGCCGACACTGATAGGCTGGACGATAGTCGAAACCAAATCGATCATGACGACAAACCGCATGGAGAAACAACAGAAACCACAAAGCTGCTCCAAGAACATCAGCTCTCCAAGGTTGTGAACCGTCGAGTTAATCCAGCGACGGCGTTGAGAGAGCAGAATTTTCCAGTCATCAGGCGCTACGGTGTATGCATGGGCGTCGCGAACGAATTGTGTCTTGTACATCGGGAAGTGCTTCAGGAGGAGGGTAGTCAGGTATCGGTCTTCTCCGAGGTGCAACAAGTTCTTCATGTGCAGGGTATCGACGCGATTCTGCGAGTAGTCCTGGACCATTTGGTTGGATATCAAAAGCGGCTTGTGGGTATCGGGAGTCCGCAAACGATATAGGGTGAAACAACCAGGCAAACAGGTAACAGATCCGAACAAACTCTCGAAAGCCTTGGCCATGTGATGCGAGATGAAGTACTCGTAAACCTAGACATACATTAGAATTTCCAACCACTTCACAATTCTAAAACAAGCTCGCCTGCATCATGGTGATAATCGACTGCTTCGAGTTTGCTAGCTCGGTCTCACCACAAACACCAAGCACCTTCTTGTCATGAATACACCTACAGAAAAATAAATATCAACCCCAATTCCCATAGTGACGAACATCGACTTACGCAGAGATCAACCGGTTGACAGAATAAGGCTCCACCATCGTATCAGCATCGACCGTAAACAGATACTCAAAGAACGTCGGGTTGACACCAATCACATTCTTGATCTGGTGGTACATTTCTAGTTCGAGTGGGTTCATAGGCGTACTGAAGTGAACCTGCGCAGCTCAAGTGTAAGCGCCAATTCTCGCCATTCTACTGAAGACCCTCACCTTGTTCAAGAAATGCATGATCACCATTTGAGAATCACGCTTGCCACGGTTACCAGGCCGCGACCGCTCAGACGGCTTGCCTATCTTCACCACGACCAAGTAAGGAACGACGTGTCCAGCGCACTCATACAGACCAGAGTAGACCTTGCCCATGTTATGCTGCCTCGCACCCTCGCCCAACGAGACGAAACTGAGCGGCTCAGGGTCGAGATTAGGATCAGCTCCAAGGATGTCAAGCACAATGCGCGGCGTGGGACGGTCATTCCCAGAACCAACGATATTCCCATCACAGATAACAAGAATAAGTTTCCGCTTGTCGTCATATTTGAGCTGCGCCAGCGAGTCGATGGTCTTCCGCAATGAACTCTCGCCTTCTGTATAACAAGGAACCTGGCAAATAACGAACTTGTCATGGTCTTCAGGCGCACGAGGAGACGCAAAGTTGATGGAAGCGATGAACTTGAATCCAATGATGCTGACCATCAAGATCGACAGTGCGAGCAAGATACCCTCGGCGAACTGGCACTGTGGCGAATTACGGTTGTCTACCATACCGATCAAAAACAAGTTGCGGAGACAGGTACGTTGACTATCCAGCGTAGCACTATCAAGATTGAGAGAGTCGAATTGCTTCGTCAGATCCTGCCCTGAGTTGTACTTGAAAAGGTCGACGACGGATACGTCCATGAATTGATCGTCAATGGTCCCAGGAAGCTGCTCGCCATATGGAGCTTGGACGGCAGGTCCGTAGTTGACGTAGGACGTGAGATCGTAGATCATACCGTTGTAAATACCGAGCGAATAGCCGGAGCTGGCCATGGTGCTGATCTCCTGTGGCGTGTAACCCATGTATCCGACGCGATTGTTCCACCGCATGATGGTCATACTCTCAAAGTACCAATCTGGACGGGAATCATTGGTGAAAGCGCGGAAGTCGTGGTAAGAAGCATTCGGATCGGTGTCGTTGGCAGAGCTGAGAGTCACGTAGGGACTGACGGAGCCGCTCACGCCGTTACATAATGCGGAGACCTGAAAACTGGTCAGAAAGAATCAACTCGTGAACGCATCCCGCTGACCTGAACGGGGAAAATCGCGTCTGATGCAGTACCGCCATACGTCTGAAGGATCGTCTTGACAGGCACAATACTAACAACGCGCTGATGCGTGGACGCAACAGTCGTAAGATCAAACACCTCCCCCCGGACCGACGTATACACATTATTTGGTGAAGACGTGTACGAATGCGACGCCAATTCCGAAGTGCTGAAAACATGCTCCGTGGGGCAAATGATCTTGCCCAGGAAGACGATGACGAAAACAGCGCACGCGCAAATGAACCAGATGATGAAATTGATCGCGAGCTTTTCTCTCCACGCTTGTCGGATATCTTCACGCTTCATTCGGCCGACCCATTTAAGAAGGAGAGAGGGCATCCACCATGTCAGAGCCCAGCACATCCCGACCCAGCGACGACGCGCAGAAGATTCCTTAAGCACTTCAGTCGTCTCACTGTCTCCGATCTCACCAGGCAGTGCTTCTTTCACCATGAGACCCTCCTTGTCTGCGTTCTGGAACATGTTGCGGGAAGGTGCATAGGATTCAGTACCGTAGTTGGAGTTTGAGTCGTCTCGGTTACTCGTGAGGCGGCTGCGATTGTCAAAGTCATCGCTGCGGAAAGACTTGCGCTCTTCGTACTCGTCATCGTACAGATCAGCGCGCTGGAAGGGGGACGCGTTGGAGACAAGAGGAAGAGCAGGGTCCGAGAAGGCATTGACGAACGGCGACTCCTCGCCATTATTAGCACCAGGCGAAGAGTAGGGAGCATAGGGGTCGCCGAAGCCACGGACATCAAGTCCAGCCTCAGCCTCAGCATCACGAACACGGTTGCGCTTCTGTTCCTCAACATCCGATGCACGAATACGGTCCTCGAGCGCGTGGAATGCCATTTGTGATAGGAAGACCTACAAAGATGTTTAGCACACGTCTCAGCTACGTTTTCAATTCACTTGCCTTGTATTGCCCAAGGACAACGTCCCGCTCCTTCAACGACAGCGCAGTCCGCGTCTGCTCAACACGCTCCCTCGGAGTTCCCTCCGAAATGCCCAAAGCTGAAATCGGATCCCTATATCGCTGACAAAACTCTTCTGGTGTCATCCCCACCTCAAACACATTCACATTGCGCTTCGCAACCTCCGTCATGCCCAGACTTCGCACCTGGCCCTTGACAGAACGACCCTCGAGCTGGTTGGGCAGCTGCGAGTCATTCGGGTTGATGCAGAACACGTACCAGTT